GGTGCAAGATTATGTCAAAATTCCATGTTTTCCGTCCCGTTTTTGCTCATATCTCGGAGGCAAAATGAGCAAGAACGCTCATTTGTACATCATTCTAGAGAGGAATAAATGGGCTTTTTAGAAAGTGAACCATGGATGTGGAAATGTTGGCAGTTTTCTCAAAAAATGCTTGAATTCAAGAAGTTTTAGATTTGCGTGGTTTTTTTTTGAGTTGCAAAATCCACTTGAACATGACGCTGCTTTTTTCGAAGTTTCTCAAGAACCCTTCGAGCCACAGAATTCGTTTTGGCATCGTTGGATAGAGAATTGAATGGGATCCCCCCCTCTGGATCCGCCCTTGATCTGCGAGTTTAAATGAGCAATTTGTCTCATTCCTTGACGATTTATTTTGCGTGTGTCTCAAAGCCAACGTTTCGTCTTTTGGGGATGATTTGCCTCATGTTTCATCTGGAAGTATTAGGTTTGTCTGGATTAGAGCATTTGATTCAAAGGCCACAAAATGATTTGATTCAGAGACCAACTCCTTCTGAATTTTTAAGACAAAATAAAGAAACAAGTTATGAAAAATTGAATAATCGGCTTGAAGCCACTTAATAGCTGATTTAATTCGATAAAATTCTGTCTAGAGCGGGTCCAGCTGCACATACTCCATGTCATCAAACGTTAAGAAAATTAAGCCATCGATTCGCGATCCTCGATTTGTAGGATTGATGTGATAACCGATAACTTCGACAGGACTACTTTAAGTTAATGAATTTTCGTGCTACCGGCGTGCATCTGTTATCGGATTGTTTCTCACGAAAGAGCAACGATGTTTCTCCACATCAGCAGCTGCAAACGGCAGATTTATGTCTTTCACTTTTTTTTTCACTTTCGTTGGATCTAATTTGGGCACATCCACGTATGATTGAGTGAAAACGTTTTTCCATTTATTCTACATGCAGCCTAAAATGTTGCACTAATTTTCGCGAGTATTGAGGATCCCGGCAAAACCCGCAAATAAACGATATGAACATTTTTATTTCAGATTTCGACTGAAATCCAGGAAAGACAAATATAATAACACTTTTCATATTTACTTATACAATGTTTTGAGGAATTCCTCTCATTCCTCCTCGTAAGCCAACAATTCGCCATCAAATACTTCCCGGCCGAGTCGCCATATAGGCCTGTTGACAGCGCTCGCCTATGTTTGCACGTGGAGAATAAGGCCTACTATACGGGAAATCGTCGGTTATATGCCAATAAATGATCTTAAAAATTTAATGTATAATATTATGTGAAATAAACGGTATGAACATTTTGATTTGTTAGCTTGATAGTTCAGTTCATAACAGTTCCGCGAGACAACAGCGCTATCATCAGATTTAAAATGCATACAAACTCAGAAATGGGAAACATTAGAGTCTTTTAGGTCTAGACAGCCAAGACCTAAAAGAATCTAGTGTTTGAGTAAATTTTTAATCTGATGATGTCTCGCCGAAACGTAATGAAATGAACTTTTGACTGAAACCCAGGAAAGATAAGAATATGATAACAATAAAAAAAAAGTTTTTCTAAAAAATTCAATGAGTCTAGTTTTAATTCTATAAGGAGATTTGCTCTGGGCAGCGGTAAAAAAACAATCTCTTCAGCTACCAAGTGACGACTTTATTTCTATAGACATTTTTTTTCTGTAAAACATATTGTTATTGAGTGGCTTTTTCGCTTTCCATCACACATTTCCCGTCCTTTCGGCAGTAGCCCTCCTGGCAGTAGCAGTTGTAGAGCAGAATATGGCCGCATATCATATCGGGATTGCAAAGATCGCCACATCTGCCCATGCCGCGACAAATAGTGCCAGATTGGTGGCACATTATACGCGAACATGGATCTCTTAGCGCATTCAAAATATCCAGTCTAAACGAGCCCTCTGTAAAATAACGCGGATTTTCCCAGCAGCCGGAAAACCAACATGCATTATTCTCTAGGTGAGTTGAAAATTAACAAACCTACCACACTGAAAAATCGCCAGGAAAACAACCAGGGCCAGCTTCATAAACATTTTCCTTTGGGAAACTGAACAGCACTCTGCTGTTTTTCCAGTCAACTGCTAAACGAACGCGAAGCGCAATTCTATTATAACAAATGGAATTGGGTATTGTTTGTTTCATTGTTACATGCGATCTCGGGTTAATTGCATTTTTATTTGCAATAAACCTGCCGATGATTGAACGTATCGAACTGCTGCTTTTAAATCTATACTGTGCCAAGCTAAAAGTGACCGTACGAAGTGCAAGGGAGAGGGTTAGACAAAAACGGCGCTACTGTGGGCCTCCTGGATGGTTT